AAGTTCCAGTTATTGTCGAAAAATGTTTAAAATTCATTTATGCCCATGGTATGTAATCGTAATGCATATATAAACTATTTGGGAATTTTAAAATAAAATCATTTTTTTAACAGGGTGTTTGACAGAAGGTGTCTATAGACGTAGTGGCTCTTGTTCTAATACTACTAAACTTTTATCTGCATTTAGAAAAGATGCTTGGGCTGTACAATTCAGCCAACAAGATTATTCAGTATACGATGTGGCAAGTGTATTAAAACGATTTTTTAGAGATTTGCCAGAACCTTTGCTTACAACTGAACTCCATACACATCTTTGTAATGCTGTAAAATGTAATTGTCCTGAAGATGAAAAAGTAATACTCTACAGAAGTTTGTTAGAGCGACTACCAGCTATTAATTATGTGACTGTGCGTAAACTCTTGAGTCATTTGTACTACATCCAACTTCAAAATGAAAAAAACTTAATGACTGTGCAAAATTTAGCATCAATTTGGGGTCCAACCTTAATGCACATAGAAGTATGTTTAAACAATACAATTATACAGTTTATACTTAATTTCATTTTTGTGATATTTATTTCAGGACAATGATTCACTAAACTGGTCAAAAATAGAGTCTGAAGCTGTGAATGATCTTATACTCTTATATCCTAAATTGTTTTATGTTGAAGAAGATGAAATAAAGCGAGAAGATAGAATTTTAGAAGCATTAATACAATATAATTTATCAAATGGTAATGCCCTTCAGCCATCAAAGCCCTCTGGAGATTTAAAAATTTGGATATACCTTGGTTCTAAAGATAGTGAAAATTGTGTCAATGTCAGCGTAAGTTTGTAATTTGTAATATTGATGAACATATTATATTAGTTATAAAATGTGTGTACAATTTTTTTTTAGTTAAGTCCGAGTAAAACCGCATTAATGATTTGTGACGAACTTGCAAATAAAATGGGAGCACGTGGTGGATATTTACTTGGTTTACAGGAGGTCGTTTGCAACGGAACAATGATTCGTCCAATTCATCATTCAGAGTTGTTATTAGACATAGTACTATTATGGGCTTATTGGGATGTAAAGTATAGAAAAGACAATTATATTGTTTGTCTCCAACCAAATTCTTTACTTATTGAAATTTTACCATTTGTAAGTAATATGTATAATATATTTAGCTTTAGCCCTTATAGGCAGTGAATGTTAAACGAAAATTATTAATTATTAATAATCATTGTGTCTTATAGGCTAAAGAACATTTAACTTTATGCGCAGAATTGAAATTCGCAGAACAAAAGAGTAAATCATTCAAGTCTTATTTATTTGAAATAAGTGATGGAAAATTGATATGTTATAAAGATAAATCTGTAATTATTTTGTGTAACTTTGTGTTCTAAGTACTCTGCTTTATTAATATTTTTTTTGTTTTAGGGATCAACATCATTATATGAATGGTTTGTTAAGGATTTAATTTGGTATATTGGGTTTGAACCTAAAAGAAACCCACATGCTAGGTAAATATTACTTTGTTTATTAATTTTATATAGAACAGTAGCCTAACGCATAGCCTGATGAATTTATATGGGGGGGGGGGGGCTATAGCCTTTTTTCCTTGTGGTATCGACAACGCTGCCAGAACTTCTTGCGAATTCAGAAGGGGGTTAACAATTTTTTTTGGGGTGAGGTCTATAGTCCCTTTAGCCCCTCACTCCCATTATACGCCTATGGCAGAAGCATATGCACCAGTTTTTTATGCCAGGTTGTATAAACTATCACAAAAAATGTGAGAAAGAAATAAATATACATTTAACACTCAAAAATTAGAATTTGTTTATGTAAAATTTCTCCCTTTTGGAAAAAACATAAAATCATTAATATGTCTTATGTCATTAAACAAATGATAACAAAAAATAATACATATTAATGTCAAAATGAAATCAATAGAGAAAAGCTGATCAATAGCTAATGGCATCTTAGACATGATTTATTTACCCATGATTAATCCATTAAATTTATCATTTTTTATTTATTCAACTTATTTCAAGTATTTTTCTCAGTTTCATTATTACTATTGTTTGAACGTTAACAATATATTATTATTTTCAATATTGTAATGATAACTTATCCTATATTAATTTATCATTTTTAATACTTTATCTCTTTTTTTTTGTGTAGATGGTGTATAACATTTATCTTAAAGAATGACTTACCTAAAGAGTAAGTTAAAACAATTTATTTTATGAAATATTGTATATTAAACTTGGTACTTCATAAATTTTGTTTAGATTAAAAGATAATTTTGGTTGGTCAATTGCTGGTACTACTAAAGAAGATCATTTACGATGGATGGCAGCATTGTTGTTATCTGAATATGGAGTTGATCATATAGCACCTCCAGTGACCATTAATTTATTAGATTATTAAAATAATTTTAACAAGGTATTTTATATATTATATATTATATACACAATTATACTTAATCAGTTATGTTGTACTTACACTGTAATGTTGATGTGATATTACAACATTTTGTATTACCTATTTAAAACAATTTTATATCAATGTTTACAAACATTTTTCAATAACATAGTTTCTCATTAATGTAAACAAATTATTAAGTTGAATTGTGTGTACTGTGTACTATTATTTCAAATATTATTTTCGTATAATACACATATATATAATATGTGTTATACATCATGATGCAAATCAATCACAATATTTAAATAATGGTTTATAAATCAATTATTCACAATTTAGTTGATAATCGATGATCTCATTAAAATTTACAATAATGTTTGTAATCCCTAAAGTCTGAATTGTTGTTTAAATTAATAGAATATTAATCTTGCCATTCTTGGAATTCATACTAGTCGAATTCTATTTATTTATATTCATCATGATGTTAATATGAATTATTCAATTTGATTTTTGTAGTATTGTTAAATTAAACAACAAACATTAATTTATATTTGTTTATATAATACAGTGGAGTTTAATAATCAAAGTGCATACCAATAAAGAAAATCTCCATAATGCACATTTAGAAATACCCAAAAAAAAAATATTACTTTATAATATTTTATTCCATTTTACCCTCCCCACAGCAGATATTTTTTTATTTTCTTAGTAATGAATAAGTGTTTGTTATACTGTGATATCACTGTAATTAGACAATTTATTTTATAATTTTAATATTAAGATTGAATAAATCATTATAATTAATATTATACTGTGTTTTTTGTAATTGAAAATATTTAACAAACGGTTTATTTGAAATTGTTTATAATTTGCTATTTATGTATGTAAAATATTCTGGTGCTATTTATGTGATTAATTAAAGTATAAAATTTATTTATTTTGAGAGTATTTTTCTCAATTATTATTATAGATTATTACAGATTATTTTAATTTTAATTAATACAATATTTTATGTTTTTTTTAACTTTTCTGAAACATTTTTAGAAATGTGAATAAGAATTATGACCCCTTAAGGTAATATACAATTATTGATATTTTTTTTATATCAACCGTGTTTTTTTCCCCCATTTATTATCTATTTTTGGTTTGAAAATTATTTATTTGATTTTGTTTGTTTATTGTTCTAGCTAAATATTGTTTATTACAGACGGTACTGAAGAGTTGTGAGGATTTTTAAAAGATTATTACCCTCTTCTTCCCTCTTCCTTATCAGACAAAAATAGAATTTCCAGAATTAATTGTCTTAATAATCACCAATTATTTAGCCATTGAGGTATAGTCATATAGACTAGATGTTCTCAAACTATGGTACCACTAGTAGTACACGAAAGACTACATGTCGGTATACAAAAGGCCACAAAGTGATCGCATGGAGAGTAAATAAATGAATATTTTAAATTGTGTTTGAACATGGTCACATGGAAGTAGACATAAGTGGTATGCGACAGATTAATAATACACATGAGTGGTACGCGAAAAAAAAAAAGTTTGAGAACCGCTGATATAGACTATTTAAGTTTAAAAGCTGACTGTCAATTTGTATATCTAATAGTGGCTACCAATTATAGTAGCTGTTAACAGATATCATAATTTATGATGGAACATGACTGCGACTGATATATTTTACTATCATTAAAAATATAACTTATTCAATATTGTACATAATCAAAAAAATAAGGACAAGACAAAAGATTCCTATGTCCTATTTCTCATCAAAATTCTCCTTTGGTATTAGAGGGCAGTACCAATACCTACTTAATTACCTACCTCCTAAAAGTATTTCACTCTTAAAAGTATTAAGATTATTTTTAATTTTAATAAAGCTGAATACCTAAACTATTTCCTTAAAATGAATAACTGTCATGTTAAAAAAAAAAATGAATATTCTTGTTTTTAGTCTTAGATAGAAATTACCTAGTTCAACATATAAATAAAATAAAAAACATAAGGATATTGAACTATTGAACTGTTGAAAAAATGAAAAATAACATGTGTAGATGATTAAAAGTCTGATTAATTTGTATTTAAGTTTGAGCAAACAAAAACAAGGAAATGCTGTATATAATGCTGGTAAAATATTGCTGCAACAGTATTTAAATACACAGTATTCAGAGTTGAACTTAATACAAATTAAAAAATATATAATTATATTAAAATCCAGTATTAGATATATAGTGTATACCATTGAGTTTAAGTATCTATCAATATTAGAGATCTACTTCTGCAATTTAACTCCATGTACAGTAGTTGTATTTAAACTTTTAAAACAGTGTCAGTATTAGAAATAACCTATACTTTCAACAATTTACAGTAATAAATTAACATTGTTTAAAAAATATATCCTGCTCAAATAAAATATTAAATTTTATATACCAAAAAAAAAAAAAATAATTATCTTAAACTGCCACCAATAACAATTTAATCATTTAAATATGTTCAAAACTATGTAGGTACCTAGTGGGAATGATATCAAAGTATATTATGAGTATAGGGTATCTAATAGCTTAAAAAGAAAACAATACACAATAATAATGAAGAAAATCAAAGCAGTATATTTATAACACTGGTTATTTATTTAAGTTAATTTTTATACTTGATGATTACATGGTTTTTCTAGCACTCTAATGCAAAATGTTTATGTATAGAAAAAAATGTATTATATTTTTTTTTTTTCAAAGCACTATCATTACAATAAGAGCTTTTATAAAGAAAATAGCCTCGGCTAAGGCACGGGCACGAATAATGCCGCCACACAACTAGCTTCACAGACTCCAAACGCTGCATTGCACGCAGCTAAAACCGGAGTAGCCGCAATCACGGCTCCGGGAACCGTGCCAAACGTAAAACCAGCGGCCGAAAAACATGCAACCGTGACGGCAGCACATCCAGCGTAGCAAACGCCCGCCGCGATCGGCCCAGCATTGGCAGAGGAGGATAACAAGATCGCCACCAATATCAAAGACCACATTTTTTGTGCGACCATGATGACTGAAAAAAACAAGCAAAATAATATGATGTACCTAAGTAAATACGCCATTGTAAATTGCAGTGCTATCGTAACTCATCAGGTTTCCAAACAAGCAGAAGATTGAAGCGGCAAATTTGGCACTCGTGAAAATAATTTCAAAACAGTACTTACACCGTCGAGCACCCACCGTGGGTCGACCACAATGTACTCCGCACGCTGATGACAATTTTATTTTTAGTAATAGGTACTTGTTTTTTCCTCAGGAGACTTTTTTAATGACATTGGTAATTTATTATTATTGTTTTCATAGCTAATTGGTAAGAAGAGATTGTGAAGAGAAATAAAAAATTATATCCCGATCAAAGTTTGTTAACATTTTTCCAAAAGCAACACTTTAAGTTTCCTAATGAGAGCAGCATAATTTCATGCATATTTCCTTCAGCTTGTAGGCGACGAATTGCATGACTAATAAGTATTAATGTATACCAGTGGCGCCGAAGTGTTTAAAATACACTATAACATTGTACATCAGGGGGACTGGGGGACACCCGTATCCCCAATTTTTAATTTGACAGCAATCAGAGGAAAATCAAAGAACCTACATAATGCAATGTTTAATAATTTATTTTTACATTATTTTATCGTAAATTCTGGATCCACGGCGGGATCCCTTTAGTACTCTACGGTGCCCCCCTCATATAAATCTACTATTATCTATGATATGTCATTAACAAATTATTAGGAGATCGGTGCCAGTGTACCACTAAGTACCCATTACTCATTAGACATTAACAATAAAAATAACTATACCTAATAAAGTAATAAATATTAAATATTACATGGACACTTCAATTTTCAGAGTAGGTAACGTAAACTTGGAAATTTAAGTCAGTAATGTTATCGCGGTTGATACACTATAAAGTCTATAATGGTAGGTACATATAATATTTATTAAATGTATACCAGTCGAAGAAAAACATACATAATTCTTCAAAGGAAATATAAAAAAAAAGTACAGAATATAACGAATTGCAAGATTAGGTTATGTGAAAATCATGGCATTGAAAAATCAATCAATCAATCAAAAAAAAAAAATAATAATATAAAAATATAAATATTCAATTTCAAAAATTATATAAAATACTAGTACACTCGCCCAGAAACATTTTAAAAATGGGTGTATTAGCCAAAATAGTTAAATAAAAATGAATAATCAAATACGTTTGGTACCTATGTAAGCTTGTTCGCTTCCTCGTAATTCACCCCGAGTTACTCTAAATGAACCGGGAGCTGGGACGTACTTGAGGTAAGTATTTATACTTGGGACGCACTTAGGTGATACCTTATTCCAGACGCATTCAAACATTAAAAATAAGTTCAGATCAAATGTTTGTCTTAGATTGTACTTGACTACTTGAGCACTTGGAAGCAATATTAATGAATTCGTGAATACTGAATACAGTATTTAATCTTATGGTTTCCATGAGACTGAAACGATGGTTTCGTTGAAAGTTTAGTTCAAGCTCTAATTAATATTTTTTTTTTTTTATTTATTTAAACTTTGTTAATACAATTAGTTTCAACAATTACAATTAAAATACAATTATTGTTACAAAAACATTAGAACAGTACAATATGAACTTAGATTAAAAAGCCTGAGTGGTTAAAGAAAGATAATATATTTAGTATGATGTTTTTTTGTTTATTAGAAAATAAATTTATAGTATCGAAAGGGATGTTGGAGGTGTTCAAGATAGATAGTAGGTGGTCACGATGTGTTGATAAGCTGGGGCAGATGTAGAGAAGATGGTTAATATCACAGACCATAGAGTCATAGTGTAATGTGCAGAGAGAGGAATCGTTCAGTGACAGTTTAAAGGAATAAGAAGGAAGTCGTGTATGTCCAAACCGGAGGCGGGAGAACGATGTTATGTATTTTCGAGAAATGTTGAGGTTGTGAAACCATGGTGTTGTAGGTATGGTAGGAGATATATTTCTGTACCAGGTGGCGAAGTGAGGAGGGAGTGAACTCCAGTGCCTAAGCCAAAGGTTGGATGTGCTGGACCTTAGGATGGGGATAAAATCAGACCATGGAATTTTCGTACTTGAAGGGCATCTGAGGGAGGCAGAGGATAATTATTATTATGTTTTTAAATTAAATAGGTTAGGTTAGGTTAGGTTAGGTAAGATTACGGTATTAATTCAAATTAAAAAAATTCTCACCAGTTGTAAATTGAAATCAGATGGTTGTACGCAGAAATGATTTGGAATAAAGCAAATTGTAACTTTATAATAAAGACAAAATCACTGTAATCCAAAGAAATATTCAGCCTAAATGCCTATTGAAGAATTAACCTCGTCATGAATTTATGGCGACCTCACAGTCACGTATGAAAAAACAACAATAACATTTGTCTTAAATACTAAAGTACTACACAGATAACGGAGGAATGGTGAAACTACGAAAGCCCGAAGATAAATGGTGGTTGGTATTTGGGGAGTCGGTTCAGACTTCGGGATATCGCAGTGTTTTGCTATTGGTCACAATTGGTCGTCATAAAAACTTGAGCGAACCGATACCAGTTTTCGATGTTTTCGTCTATCTTTCGAGTGTTGAATTTTCTAGTAGCCAGTAGGTATAGTCTAGACATAGATAAATAGATAAGTCAATAATATAGTAATTAGTCACTTAATGAATAACGAGTAGCTCGAAGGTCACAATGACACAATATCTAACAATGATATTTGGTTAATTACAATAATTGAGCTATAAGTATTTAATTGATCTAATTAATCAAAAAAATTATTGGGATATACCAAAATTATTAATGATATTAATATATTATTATTTACCGTGGACGTACTTGGGTTATAAAAAACTAAAAAGGCACGATATACTTAATGGAATGCACTCAGGCGATGCTTAGCATATTTCCAAGTAGGTAATTGACCTGAAAATGTACAACATAAGTTTTGGATTTTAGCTGAACTAGTTTGAAGCAGTGTCTAAAATCCCTAACTTAATAAAAAAAATAATAAACTGTTTGAAGTTCTTTATGGGGTCACCGTGATTGATTTTTGTATTCCCCCCCCCCCCCCGAAATATTATTCCAAATACGCCACTATACCATAGAACACTATAGTGTTCCACCTAGTGTTCTATGACTATACTAAGGTACCCTATACGCATAGATATTAGATATATACCTATCAGCTCTATCTGTTTTTCAGACTATTTGAGTTAGTAGTTGGTATACTCAGGCACGTCTCTATCAGCGGAATAGTGGGTAGTGGACATTTTACGGTTAGGTCACGTACAACACCGGAGTTATCAAAACTTTAAATACCTACCTACTTATAACTTATAAACTACTATATACTACTAAATTTATGTATTGAAAAACTTAGAAAAATATTACAAAATATATATTACAAATACAAAATTAAGACTGTACGTTATCATTTAAAAAAGTAATAACTCACAGAATGTTTGATACAAAATGCGAAAAATATTGTTCTTATTAAAATCTAATCTAAATTCTAATTTCAGTTATATAATAGGTATAGGCATAGAGATAGTGTACAAGTGTACTAAATTTCCTAACTCAATAGTTTATACTATGGATTAGAACAGATAGTATAAATAATCTAAAAATGACTAAATAATAGAAAAATCTTATAATGTATTTATGTATATGTTAGCGGCAATGTGTATAATATTAATATTTTATATTATGTCTAGGAATTCTATATAACACCAAATACAGCCGGCAATCTATAAAATTGTTTAAATTACCTAACCATTATATGAAATGCCAAACAAGGTAATATATTAAATCCATATAATCAGTATCTATTGATATTTGACAATATATAAATCAATTAGTCATCTGTAATCTTCATTGCAATTCAAAATGTTACTTAATACTATTCTTAAACAAAAGTATAATTAACATAGAGACGCAAGTATTTAATAATATTATTAGATTAGCTAGAAATCTCTCATAAATAACGTATGAACCTAACCTATGGACCCTAGTTTTAAGAAACAAGTTATACAAATTTACAATTTTGAAAAATATAAATGCCCTGATAATATCTAAATTATTTGAAGTGTTTAAAGAATTGGATATAATAAATCTTGGACAAACATAATTTTTTCAAAAAACCAATTTGGCTTAACATAATATACCTATTATATGTTTTAAGAATAAAATTTAAAAACATTGCCATTGACCCAAGTACTGAAGTACCTGACCATCGTACAGTTAAGTAAAATAACATCGCAACAGTACCTATTTCAGTGCACACTATTCAAATTTTAACTTAATAAAAACAGAAATTATGTGAATAATTAGCAAGGTCGCACTAGGAGGGGGGTTGACCCTTCCCCCGCCCAGAAAATGTTTGTTTTTTTTTTATTTTATTAGCTGCTGGTAAATGTTTGTGTTATATTATGTCATGGTAAAATAACTCCTATAGTCTAGAATAAAGCTATTGTCTTCATTATTAATAACAATACCTGATAAATTCTCTTCGGGTGTATCAACCTGATGTCTCGATAATATTATACATATCATAATAAATTACCACTAGAATTTGTAATCTTTCAAGTTACAACTCCCCCCCCTCAAAATAAATTTCTAGCTATGGTCCTGGTAATTAGTAATAAAATCTAAATCCAGTATTAGATGTTTATTGCACTTCTGCAATTTAACTATCTGTATCAGTTGTATTTAAAATAATGTATTTGTATTAGAAATAACAAGTTTTTTTAAAATGTATCCAGCCTAATTAAAATAGGATATTTTGTGAAAAAAATCCTAAAATACCACCGGTAATAATTTTAACACTGAAATGTGTTTTATTCGATTACGATCGATTTGCTCATAACATCGATATATAAAAGTGTACCAGACGTCTGTGTAGGTATATTGTGGATAATCACTTGAAAAAAAAACAATAAATATAATGATGAAGATAATCAAAGCAGTTTATTTATAACACTTGATATTTATTATGCAAAAATTATTAATTTTAGTTAATTTTTATATTTGAATGCACTTAAAGGCAAAAAAAGATGTGTAAAAATAAAAAAAAGTTGTACATTTAAAAAATTAAATTCATTACACAAATCGTCGAAAAGAAAATATCCACTAAACCCTAAGGTGTAGGTACGATTAAGGCCGCCACGCAGCTAGCTTCACAGAACCCAAACGCTGCATTGCACGCAGCTAAGACGGGTGTAGCAGCAATCACTGCTCCAGGAACCGTGCCAAACGTAAACCCGGCGGCAGAAAAGCATGCGACTGTGACGGCAGCACATCCAGCATAGCAAATGCCAGCTGCGATCGGCCCAGCACTGGCAGATGACGATAATAAGAGCCCAACCAATAAGAAAGACCACATTTTTTGTGCCACCATGTTGACTGAAAAAACCAACAAAATATTATGTAAGCAAATAAGCAATTGTAATGCTATCGTAACTTGTCAGGTTTCTGAACAAGCAGAAGATTGGAACGGACAATTAGGAACACGGCAAAAATTTTTTTTAAAAAAACGTATTTACGCCGTCGAGTACACGTCATAATGGTTCGACACCACGGCGAATTTGCTCCGCACACCGATATTTTAATATTTTGCAAAAATTGTTTTTTTTTTTCTAGGAAAATTGTAATAGTGACATTGATAAATTATTATTATTATTGTAATCGCTAAATAGTAAATAAACAATAATATGGCGATATCAATTATTGTAATTGTCTAGCATTTATTTTTCGTGATTTTATGGTTTTACTCAGAAAAATGTACGTTTGGTAGTTAACTAAGTTATTACTATTAAACGTGATGGGATGACATAGTCAACTACGCCCGTTAGTATTATTTTTATAATTTTTCAAGTTTATAAATAATAAATATTAATGAAAGTGAAGATAAATAAAAAAGAACATGTATGCTTATATAATTCCGAAATCAATATTTAGAAGAACGGTTTCCTATTGCGAGCCATGCACTACAATATATAATACTAGCAACTTGTATATTATACTTCATACAATTAGTAGGTGACAAATTGTACAAGTGACAGAAAATTGAAATATTATAGGTAGGTAAATTAAAAGACATCCCAAATGAAACGAAATAACACTGGACTTCTTCACGCTCCTTACGTATTGTAAAGTCGCAACGTACGTGCGTGCGCGATATGATGTTTAACAATACAATATTCTGTCATTTCAGCATATTTACTATGTTTGGTAGGACTCACAACCTATATTAATTAATTACTCAGTTACAAGCTAAAATAATATTATTATTTATTATATTCTCACATGAATACTATAAAATATAAATTTTAATTTAAAATTGATGACTGCCATGAATATGGCAATATCCAAGTCCAACTGTATAAAGAGTTAATATAGGTAATATATTAATATTTAAAAACTGTATATAATAGTCTATACTCTATACAATTAAGTAATACAGCACGTAAAGCAGGCTTGAGCAGCATTAATTTAGATTTATCAAATAATATTATTGTCTAGTCTATTAATGTCAACGGAAGTCATAGAAAGTCAATGATGGTATTTGAGGCATTCCCCAGGTAAATTAAAATTAACTATAAAGATATTATTGTAGTATCTAATACAATCATTATATCAATGTTATTCCCGAAGTATAGAAATGCAAAGGTGGGCCTTTTTTAATATTTCTAGCGTAATTGGCGGTTGAAATTATTTGGCTTTTCACAGATATTATGGAAATGATCTATCACGAGTTAAAACTTTTAGATATTTTTCGTTTATACGCAAATGGCAAATATTAATATAAAAATAAAAATTATCCATTACTATAATAAGTAATAACAAATAACAAACATCTCTGCAATTGTTAACTATTAACTTATTGATCTAGCGTTCTTTAGCTTAAGTTAATTATTTTCATTCTTGTCCACCTTTGTAGGGATGTTCACATGGGCGAGAAATATTTATACAATATTATACAACCTATATTATATTCATTCAAATAAATAAATAAATAGGCGCAATTGACTGACTCATAGCCGTGTTGGGTTAGATTCTACATATTTTAAGTGATAATTGAAAATATATTATTGGCCTGCTTAATAGGATTAACAAGATTAAACTAGATGTATAATTAAAACTACCTTATAAAAAGTTTCTTTAATATTAAAATTTGAAATTATTAATACATACAAATTTATACTCAGTGTTCAAATTATTCAGTTGTATACCCAAAATTTGTATGCAAAACAAGTGCGGATTCAAAATAATTGGTCAATCGAATTTCGGTCTTAGTTAAATAGTTAATACTAGATAACAATTATGAATTATGATAGCGTGAATAAGTTTCTGAGTAAGGTTTCCATGATTTTGAAACGATATGGATTTTTGGAAGTTTATTTAAAGCTCAAAACTAATATTAATTAATGTTATTTGTTCAATTTAAATATATAGTAACCAATAATATTAATTCATAAAAACATATAATACAATATTAATAATTTTATATTAAAATTCAAGTGGAAAAAAATACTCACGAGTTATAAGTTGAATTCGGATCACTCGACGCAGAAACGATTCAAAAAAAAGTTAGAACTTAATTTTTTTAAGACAAAATCACTAGGTATACTCCAGAAAAAATCAGCATAAATAAATGTATAATGAAAAATAAATCGTTGAGACGACCACAAAGTCGGTAGTTGTCAGTGTCACGCATGGAAAAAGAATAATGATTATTATTACTTGGAC